ATTGGTCACTGTTTTTCGTTAATAACTCGTTAACGGTGCCTCGGAGAACATTTTTGCAAAGGAAGAAGTTGCTTCAAATGATCCGAGGAACCCGCCATTTCCGGATTGCGAGACATTTTTGGGACATCCTGTAGACTGTTGTAAATCGATGCGAAGACAAAAGAAGCGTGAAACAATGCATATGAAGACGATTATTTGGTTCAAACGATGAGCGAGTGAGCTGCTAGAGCAAGCCACTATAGGGGCGCATCGTGCCTAGAAGGTTAAATACGAGATGGAAATGAAAGATTGGTTGCTCACCGAGGAAAAACTTGCGGCCGAGACGGTCCATTCCCAAAACAGCGACGATATTTGCGGGAATAGCGGAGGCTACAGTGATTAGAGATTCCAAGAAAACGGAGGCACCGATCTTATCCGAGCAGAGGTTCTCGATTTTCTGAGCACCCTTTTGAACCACGTAATCGGTCACCTCGCACGTCGACGCGACCACGCCGTCGTGGTCACGATGGAATTCGTCGAAACGATTGAACAGCTCGGGGAACCACATCATCAGACCGTAATAACCGATGTGGAAGGTGAAGTTGATGATGATCGAGATTATGGTGAAGCGAAGAATCGGCGAGACGAATAGTTGCCTGCTGTTCTCCACAATGTCACCAAGCATTGTTTTACATTTGTTCTTCTCGGCGCCGACCTTCACCGGTTCTGGCTCGTGGAAGCCATCGAGTATCAATTCTTTTACCTGCGTATACACATTAGAGCAATATAAATGTTAAGAACACCGACAGTACGGATAACAATTACTTCGCATAAGTAACAGCAGACAGCGCGGAAGATTTTTGTTAACATTTTGCACTCGAACCTATTTTAACTTCAAAACTAAGATACTTCTAGTATAGTATTTTGATGTATTAGTTATATTTGTATCGCATCTTAATATTGCAATTTAATAATGTAAAAAGTACTTGAAAAAAATGATGCAGCAACTTTTAGTGATGCTTTAGGGACGCTATTCCAGTGCAAAAGGTTAATATCGGTTAACGCAGCCGACAACTGTTCGCAATTTCTTCTGCAGCTTCTTCTGATTTCTAAGATACTTCAACAGTTGCTGCAAGGCTCCGACATCTCCAGTTAAGGTGCAAAGTTTGATGTTCGTTATTCTTTGATTCTTTTATGTGTATACGTATGTACTTACCGTGTAGCTTTCACGGGGTTTGCCAGTGTTAATGGCATAGATCCTGCGGAAGATGTCGAGCGCCTCCTCGTATTTTCCGCAGGATAAGAGGTATTTAGGGGATTCAGGGAGCAGCAGGAGCAGCCCCGCGACGATAAACGACGGAGCAGCGCAGATCAGCAGGAAGATTCGCCAGGAGTTATATGTGAACGTTGCACTCACAAAGCCGATTTCATTAGGGATGATCAACCATGCTAGGCCTACACGAAAATGGTCAGACTTATTTTACGTGTACAATGACCGAACCCCAATGAGAACGTTTCACAATTTGTCAGCAGTAGCGAACACTAGTGTCATGTATTGGCTTGGCAACTAATGGGGCAACTATTGGGTTGGCCTTACAAACTGCAGTTTCGAGATGCACTTTACATTCATCGGATCGATAATATTTACTTTGTTATTTAGGCGGTGCTATTTGCTCGCGAAACATGCGAAAAGTGAACGATCCGAAGGTTTATTTTTGTAATAAAAAAACATTCTATTATCTAAAACATTTCGTTTGGGTTCTCTATTAGGTAACAATGTATCTAAAATAATACGATGATCAGATAATGGAATGTTTGTGTGCCAGAATATTGTAAAAACAATTGTGCTCGATAATAATTGGAATCGACCGAATAATTCTTTCCCCGATTCAACCGTTACTTATGTTAACCAGAGGAATAATAACAATAATTTTGGTAGCAGTATCGGTACCAAATAATATTTTCACTCGGAAATATTAAAGATAAGAACATACAATTGACAAAAATTGCCGAGTTAACGAAGAAATGATTTGTTTTTTTCTTGGACATATCGAAATACAGATTATAGAGAAGAATTAAATTCGATTCTGTCTTCGAAACCGATGACGGTTTTGAGAAAATTGAGTTTGAACTTTCGCGAAGCACGCGTGCGTTAGTACAAGATCAGACTTTCTACGAGCGTGGAGTTTTCAAGTTGTCGGAGAGATGGTAAAAGGTCATCGAACAAAATGGAAAATACATTACAGATTAAACTTCGTTCCAAGTAAAAAAAATTCTTTTATTTCATTGAACAAATCGGCAATTACTTAGTTGCCAACCCAATACTTCTCGTTTTTTTTCTTTCTGTGATAGCTTGTTACTGCGACACGAATGTGCCACAGTAATAAAAGTAAACTTGCCAGCGACAAAGAGGTTCCCAAGCGTCCAGAAGGCAGCCATGAAAGACAACATCGAGCCTCGCTTAGACTTCGGCTGGAACTCTGCAAAGTACGACCAGATGACAGGTCCACTGCCTCCGAGACTAAAATCACGGAAAGATTATTAAATCGTGTATATTTTTAATCGGGTGATTTGTTTATTTAATGAAATAGTTCGCAAATGTTGGAAACAACTTTTGTGCCCAAATGTGTTTGCTATTCTTTTCTGTTACTTTATATTCATGGTTGGTCGATTAATGTCGTAGTTTTCAAATAATTCTGTTGACATAAATGATCCGGTGACGCGGTTTTTCAATTTGTTACCATTTTTTTTTTACAGCTGCGCAATGTTTTCGCGAGTGATCTACTTTTTCGTTCAGCTAGTTATCGTCGAAATTGATAAATACAGCTTTAAACAGTTTCCATGTAAATACAATTTGAGAGCGAACACATTGAACAAATATTGGCTATCTGTTCCTATGACGCACCGAATAAAAAGTTCGTCATTATTTTGAACCTTGATTATTGTTTCGTTTGGCGCGTCTGATCAAGGTTTATCGTTTCCACTTCATACCAGCATAGGACCTTGCAGAACGCGAATCCGAGTACAGTAATGGACAATTTGAGAAGAGGAGATACGATTATTCGAGCCTTGCGATTTGTTTTTATAGTTTCGAATTGTCAACAACTATAAGAACGAGCTGCAGGGCTCGAATAATCGTATTTTTCTCGTATTTTTCATATATATAATAATCGTATTTTTCATTCTCAAATTGTCCGTTACTGTACTCGAATTCGCGTTCTGCAAGGTCCTATGCTGGTATGAAGTGGAAACGGTAAACCTTGATAAATGTCCTTGAATAATAGTCTTTGAAAAATGGACAATTTGGGTAGAGCAGATACGATTATTCGAGCCTCGCGATTCGTTTTTATAATTTCAAATTGTCAACAACTATAAGAACGAGCTGCAGGGCTCGAATAATCGTATCTTCTCTACCCAAATTGTCCATTTTTCTGGACAATCTGAGCGTCAATTAGAGAGACATCGACTTTGTTTTTCTCCCAACATTGTTTTTCTCCAAATACTAATTGGTTCACAATTTTTACAACCGGTCAGCTTCTTTTTTTTTAGAAATATCCATAGGAGATAGAGTAAAAATGATTGTGTTTCGATAATTTTTTATCCGAACAAAAGACAGATACAGCCTATGTAATCTTTTTATTACAACTATCTCGCTATTTGAATCAATTGCTAACAAATTTCTGTACTCATGATCATGAGCAGGTAATAGTGGTTACATCATTGAATCCACCTTGCCCTCAGCCATCATGTCACAATGGCGAAAACATGTAACTTTGTTTAAAAAAGCAAAATTCTCGATGGTCCAAAGGATCGGCAGAAAAATTTGCCAAGACAGTTTTCATCAACTTTTTAACCTCTTAGGTACGGCTGAATTCTCCGCGAGGCTATTTCTCTGGACGGCAGAGTCTGATATGTACTGTACAGAGTCTGATACTGTATATTTTGTCTGTATATACAGGGTGTCCGAAAAATGTCTCGCAATCGGAAAGTGGCGGATTCCTCGGGCCATTCGAAGAAACTTTTTCCTTTATAAAAATTTTCTCCGAGGCACCATTAACGAGTTATTAACGAAAAACGGTGACCAATGAGAGGCGAGCTCGGCTGGCGCGAGGCGATCGAGCCAATGAGCGGAACCGGGCTTCGCGCGCTGGTTGGCTGGGCCGCCTCGCGTCAGCCGTACTGGATTCTTATTGGTCACTGTTTTTCGTTAGTAACTCGTTAACGGTGCCTCGGAGAACATTTTTGTAAAGGAAGAAGTTGCTTCCAATGATCCGAGGAACCCGCCATTTCCGGATTGCGAGACATTTTTGGGACACCCTGTAGACTGTTGTAAATCGATGCGAAGATAAAAGAAGTGTGAAACAATGCGTATGAAGACGATTATTTGGTTCGAACGATGAGCGAGTGAGCTACTAGAGCAAGCCACTATAGTGGCGTGTCGGGCCTAAAAGGTAAAGAATCGTTGAGATCAACTTTATCGTTTGCTAATGTCGTTTGCGGAATGATTTTCGAACAGGCACGCGCGCACGCACGCACGATTCGGTTACTTACGCAGCGCCGTTGAGAAAACGGAAGAGCATGAAGAGTTCATAGGACTGGCTGAAGCTAGAGGCCACGATGCAAACGGCGTTCGTGAACGAGATGGCGATGAGAACCTTTCGACGGCCCAGGGCGTCCGCGACGGAGCCCCAGGCGTACGCGCCGGCCATCATGCCGATGAAGATGATCGAGTTGAGCCATCCCTTGGCTTGCGTGTCGAGCTTTAGATCACATTGTGCACTTGGCAGTATGAAGGACATGGAGATCACGTCCATCTCCTCGCTGGTGCTGACGAAACCGCATACCGTGAGGAGGAAGTAGTGAAACTTGCCATAGTCTAAACAAACAACAAACATAAAGATTTCCATTATCTCCGCTGCTGACAGGAAATACTCCAAAGCTAGCACTGCTTATACAGGGTGTCCCGAAAATGTCTTGCAATCTGGAAATGGGTGATTCTTGAGGTGATTTGAAGCAACTTTTTCCTTTGCGAAAAATTTCTCCGAGGCTTCGTTAACGAGTTATCAACGAAAAACACTGACCAATAAGAGGCGTGCTCGGCTGGCGCGCGGCGGCCCAGCCAACGAGTGCCTCTGATTGGTCACTGTTTTTCGTTAATAACACATAAACGAAGCCGCGGATTGCATTTTCGCTAAGGAGAAAGTTGCTTCAAATCACCTCAGGAATCCTCTACTTTCGGATTGCGAGACATTTTTGGGACACCCTGTATATTAGACAATACAACGAGGCTCGAATAATCGTATCTCCTCTTCTCAAATTGTCCATTTTTCGTTTACAAGCTGAGAAACAATTTGAGAGAATTTACCGTGTCAGTTTAACTATAAAATCGAGCCGCAATTGTCCATTTTTCTTTGCCCAGCTGAGAGTCAATTAGAGAGACTTCACTGTATAAGGGTAATAAAACTGTAACACAAGTTCTTGTCTCTCCTTATTAAATGTGAAATGGACTACGGATAAAGGAGAAACTGAACTGAAATGCTCTCGACGATACTCACCGGTAAGTTCGATAGCCTTCTCGAAATCTGCTTTAGCGTAGGATCCTTTCTCGGGATCTAGGGTCTTGCCCTTCGTTCCAATACCTGCGCCAAGAAAATCGACTGAATCAAAAGGCTTGACAAACGGAGCACACGGACTACTAATTGCTACCTACGGGCAAGTTCGAGATCCTTGGAGCTACAGCCGTTTAGCCGCTCGTCTTTTACATCACACTCTGAAATAGAAAAGTTCAAACACCTGTAGCATCGTTCTACCTTCGTTCCGTTCCGTTGTCGTTCGCTTCGACACCTGAGCCTGTTACACGCTCGCCTAACTAGAACCCATCGCCTCGCGTTTCGAGCGGACATGAACGTCGACGGAAATTATTAACCTTCTCCGGCAAATTTGAAAGTCTCGTTAACCATAATCGATGTCTCCCGAACCGCGGCACCGAGGTGTTACGAAGAACCGTGGCCGATTTACGGTCGACCGACCGTGCAGAAGGCTGTTGCACATTTGAAAAGTTCGTCAACCGATCGCTCGAACAATGTCCGAGACCGGAATCATCGAAATCATTTTGTCTCGTTGATCTACGTTCTTATCTTTAGCTTTAGACAAAGTCTCGGTGGGTTTTTCACGGATCCGCAAACCTTGATCCTTTCTGCGCGCGATAGAGGGGCTCGCGGCGATCGAGCGTGTCTATAATAATTAGTCATTTCTACAAAAAAAGAGACTTGTTTGCTTGCACTGATCTAGCACCTCCGTTTCCTTTCTAACCAGCTGAAGACGTTTCGGATATCCGATCGTTATCTTCGAGAGCGGGATCCATACACTTCGGTCTTCCTGCCGGAGGACTTAGAGTCCGTGACTCATACGGAGGACTTTGTGTTACACGCTCGTAGATTCTCCGAGGAGCGTGCAATATCGTTTTACGTTTATCTTCTAGCGTGTTTGATAAATTTTCGAGATCGGTGAAAGTTGATCGAACCTCGTAAAGACACGGAACTATGGATCAAGCGAAACGCGCAGATCTATTTAAGCTTGATTATTTTCAGAAGGAACGAGATAACAACATTTTTTGCAGTTAAGATCAAATTATATAAGGCGCGGATGATAATTAGTAGATCGCAGTGGTGTAGGAGTACGTATATGAGCCGTTTATTTTAAAAGTGGAATAAGTCATTTTTTCAAAAAAATCGAGTTAAATGGTAACGCTAATTACAATTGAACGGTACCTTTTGATTTTTAAAAAATTTGCAATCAATAAGTTGAGAACTATTGAGATTCGTTCGAGAGAATTTTTGCTAATTAACGGTATAACAAACATGTTTATTTTGAAAGTGGCGCAAGTCGCTGTACTCGGGAAATTCATTGCGGGGCTTAGTGTAAAAGAAATAGAAACGTGCGATAAGTGTGTGCGAAGTATTGTTTTGAATTATTTTCAGTATTTTAAAAAAGTTGTGATCACTGGACTTATTTTTATAAGTGCGAAAGAATAGTGCAGTTTTGTAAATTATATTATAGCGATGTGGCGGCTACCTCCAGACCCGCCAGCAGATGGCTATAAAATGTTTTATAAACTAACTTTAGATGAAAAAGATGAATTTCTAACTTTGGATTTGTCACCAAAAAGAGGAAGAGCCAGGCGTTATTCACAAATAGAAATGGATCCGTTATACGCTGGATCTCGTCCTGTTACTTCAGCAAAATACAAAGACACGATGGACTTGCTTAATTATATACCCCCGATATACCACAGTTATTTAAACAATTTGAAACAAAACACGATTTCCGAGGACTTGATCGCTCCTATCGATGACGAAAATTAAATTGAACCGATGTATATTTTCATATAAATTACTTATACTTATGTTTCAAAATGTACGAATTA